GTGGGGGGGGGGTGTGCGGCGGTGTGGGGGTGGGTGGGGTGTGGGTGTGGATATCACTCTTGTTGGAGATAACGATAATACCCACATCCACACCCCACACCCTTGCTCGACACCAACGCGATTGTCGACACTGGAACTTTCTATTAATAAAGATTCCTATAAGTAAAATTTAAAAAAACACATAATTTACACATCATTTTAGTTTAAAGACGTATGCTGGTGTGAATGGATATAATTCGTGTATCACTAAAAAGTTTTATAGTCAGCTCTTTCGTCGTTTTCAAAAAATCAAAACAATCTTATCACTAGAACAGGGTCCTTCTAACGTTGAGCTCTCAGTTTACTTACGAACAACGACCTTCCTAGAACCTCCTTTTCGAGTACATTTGGATCTGAGGTTTATCCAAGAACTTTTACAACATTCGTTATTATCAATAATTGACTTTGTGATGTTTATAATACTTCCAATTTGATTAATCCGAATCGAAAATAACAAGAATTTATTAAGATTGTAACATTTACTTTTTTGTGAAAAACTAAAATATTTTTATTCGAATAAAACAACAGATTTAATCGAGAGTTATTTTACGGATTTTAAAAATAAATAATTGATATCTATCACATGTTGTTGTTGCATATTATGACGAAAATAAATACTTTTTTTTTCATTTTCGTCATTGCCAATCGGTCTTATATATGTTTTCAGGTGTATAGAAAGGTATTAATTTTCCTAATGCAAGTCGCATTTCGTCAACCAATCGACACCAATTTGATGTTAATGTACCAACATGTAAATCTGCATTAGCTTCAATAAATAAATCAGTAAGAAATTCTAATACAATTTTTCCACGTTGTTCTCTTGTCATACTAGTTAATGATCCAAAAACAACATTTCTTTGTAATTTTAGATTTAATAATTTATAATAACCTTGTTTTTCTTTATTTATTTCAGCAAATTCATTGAATACTTTTGGATCTTCAGAATTAATATAAATCGTTGATATATTCGCTTGTCGAGCATGATCATTAAATAAATCAAAATATTGTTTAAGTGTATATGATTGAGACATTTCTTTAGCTTTAACTTTATCTGATCGACGCACATATACAGCAATATAAGGATGATGAAGATCAATTGAAGATGGTTTAAATTGTTTTGATATTGCATTCTGTACATGAGCTAATGTTTCGAGTTTATATCGCATTAAATAAAATAATATTTGGACACGATACCAATTAAAAGTTCGACTTCGAAATATAGTCGGCATAATGGGCTTAGACCAATGACCAATATCAGCATTGATTTTAATTATTTGATTATCATCAACTTTGGATGGAATTGAACAATTAGTGATAGGAAGAAAAAAACAATCTGGTGTGCTTGAATTACAATCTCCATAAAGCTAAAATAAACAAAATATACTATCAACAATCAGTAGAGATTTCATTAGCAACTTTTGCGAACTTTTTTGATGATTCGAATTTTCATTTCAATATTAATAAGAAAAAGGTAAGCATAAGAGCTCGTTGTTCTAGACTATATATTATGAGTTAGGCATCAGCAGAGTATCTTTTCAGGTAACCTGTTACACATATGTCACAGGGTCTTGGTTAGATACCCTGTTAGAATTAGCTCACAATGACACATGTCCAACTATCGAGCATCGTTAAGATTTATATGATTGCAAGAAGCAGTTTCGAAACGTTATTTTGTTTATCGGCATCTTTGACATTCTTACACAGTCCTGAAAGTTTCAACGAAAACGAACATGTCTTTTTTCGAGATACTGGATTTTCTAGGAGACTCGATTATTGTGTCTACCTATTGTAAACTGCTTCTTTGTTGGATATTGAACATTTTGAGAAAGACATCTTAACTATATAATGACTATGAAACATTCATATAGACAAGAGCTTAATTTGAAACTCTTTTTCTTGGTTTTTTTCTGAAATGTCAACTATAACTCTCTATCAGTAAACCATATACCAGAACCATTTTAAGCTTGAATTAGTCTCCCCAAAATCTACTCGTAGCAATAATATGAAGTCGCATGGTATCCTGCTCCTGAATATGTTCCATTGTCAGTGCATAGGCCATGCGAAATTCGAGTGGATACTTCCGCACTCATTCATATAGGATTTGATAGAGCTTGAAAATTTTGTAAACCTATCTAGTTTTTGGTGACAAGAGACAGGTGTCGTTGTCATATCTCATTCGGATCATCAGACTGCGAGCTACAAGAGTACATATTCAGTTTTTTCTGATATCTAGCATTTTTCATTACCATAACTCAATTATGAAGGTAAATGAACAACATATTCGGAATCAGTGTCAAAAATCTATATCGTATCATATATACTTTAAGAAATTATTTTTCATACGAAAATCCAATCCCCAAGATAGTACGGACAAAATTTTAGTGAAATAGCATTGAGGAGAAACACAGGTGTCTTTTCATCGAAAACAACTTTTAATGAAAAATAAATGATACGATATAGACTTTTGACACTGATTCTGAATAAGCTGTTCATTTACCTTCACAATTGAGTTATGGTAATGAAAAAGGCTAGGTACGAACGCATTATTCACTTTTTTATCAGATTTAGCCACTAAAGTATAAAACAAAATTTGAAAACTTCTGTAGCTTGCAATCTGACGATTCGAATGAAATATGACAATGACCTTTGTTTCTTGTCACAAAAAACTAGATAGGTTTACAAAATTGTTTAGAAATTCATACTTTCAAGCATATGAAAATATTTACACATGATTATTTGTTTTAACTTTATCAACTTTAAATCCTTTCAAATAACATTTCTCTACTCAATTTTTAATGTTGAGTCAGAATATAATATTTTCAAAACGTTCACAAAATAACTGAAATTGAAATTTGACAATATCTATAGAAGAAGTAAATTCAACTTCAACATGCTATTTCTTTTGTCATTCGAATTTTTTACAATTGTTTTCAGTCAAACAGTGATCAAATCGAAATAAAAAGTGTATATTCTTAACTTTCTTTTCAAGCTCTATCCAATCAGATATGAATGAGCGAAGAAAAAAATCCACTCAAATTTCACATTTTCAGCACTTTGCTTACCAGATACCCGCCCAGGTACCCTGACTAGTTTCTGTCGAATTCTAAGAATTTTACAATAAGTCAGTATATTGAACATTGAAAAATATTTTGTAATCAGTCACTAAAAAATCTACTAAGATTGTGTGTCTAGATGTATTTTAATGATATCAATTTATTTTACCCAATTTCCTGGTGTTTGATAAACAGCAATTCTATTATCTGCTATTGCCCTACCAAACGCCCATGCAATTAGATGAACAGTTGATCCAAAACCAGACCAAACATAATTTTGAATAATAGCAAAACGTTTATTCGTACAATTGATTGGATGTTGATGTTCATAAAACCATTTTTGTGCCCATAATGTATTCTGTATTGAAAATTCATTTTTTGACGAATAATCACATGAATCAATTTTTTCAATTTTTCCTTTACGAGAATATTTGACAATACGACATGGTAAAATACGTGCAAGACGAAAATAATTTTCATCAGCTAAACGCATTGACCAAAGATGTGTTGAGTTGTATCCAGTAAAAAATGGTTGTTGCACTTGTGTATTGCTTTTTGATGATGATTGATTCAATTTTATAAATGATGAAAATAAGACGTTAACTTTACTTTTCGTTTCATCAAAAGTTGAACCAAGAAGAAAACCACAGACAAAAACGAGTACAAATGGAAATGCACTGTACACTATTTTAATAGTTGCTATTTGTAATGATCGATTACTTATCAAATGTTTCATAATGGATAATGAATGAAAGATCTATTCAATTGAGAAAATGGTTGTATACTACAATTTCTTCAATATGATTCCACTATTTCGTTAATTCTCAGATAATAGTTGAAAAAATTTGTCGAGGTAAATTTCGATTCATATCAACATTCTCTTGAATGACAAAATCTAAAAGAAACTCAGAACGTGAAATACTAATATTGAAAAAACAAAAGTATTTTCACAAAGATAAAGTACTTCATAACATAGTTGTAAAAGTTCTTTTCTGCCTGTCAAAAACAAACTATTAATATGTTAATGATTCTATCACAACAAATCCATATGTGTTCAACAAATATACACCTAAAAGTAAAAGTCTTTTGCCTTCTGATTCTTTTCTAATGTCATCTCTATCGTTTGAAGTGAATACTGATTATATGAGAATGGATGAAGTAGTGTATTTTAGTGGAGTATGCGATTTATTTCGATCTGATTTGGTAAAATATGTACATCTTCCAATACCATTGTACAAAACAAAAAAATAACTTGAACGACAGAATATTTCATGACTAAGTAATCTCTTTTTTTTGATATTATCTGGATGTTCTACTTTATGGTTTCTTGTATAAACGGCTAATCCACATTTTTGAAAGAGTTTTGTGTCGATGACTAGGCGGGTTGAACCACCCAAACTAATGAAAAGATTAATAGATGCATAAAAAGTTATAACCCAAGCGTGAAACATTCGATCAATGAATTTATTTTCATTATTGTTCACCTGTATTGAAAGAGTTATATCCTTCATTTAAGCAAATTGTCATCTATCATACACTAAACTACTTCATACTACGATATTGTTCTTCCCTATGTATATATCTCTCTATTCTCTCTCCATAGTTCTAATCTATATTCATCTATCTATACACTTCTCTCTTGTATATATACTTGTGGCATATGTGAAGTAGTTACACTCTGGATATGTGAAGTACCTGAATAAACATCATTGCCGAGAGTGGCGGAAAGCTACTCATCCAGTTCGTCGTTACAATTATATAACACATGCACGATACGATAAAGTTGTATGATATTATTCCCGTGTAGGCTTTTTTTTTATCTCTCTTCTTTTCATCTTCTTGTTGTTTTTTTTCGTCTTTTGGTTATTTTATACACTTTTTGTGAAACACGATCTGAAAGGAGTGTTGAAGTGTTCAGGGGTAGAAATTTGGACCCCTCCCCCCCCCCA